GTTGTAGCTTCTTTCAATTGTCTCAAATCGGCGGTTGTTTCACCACCAGAAACTGTATCTAGTTGTGTCCAAGCTTGTCGATTAACATCTTTACCTTCGATCACGTAGCCTGTTATTTTTGTACCACCATCTTCAGTTGGTGGTGACCATGTTAGTGTGCAACCTGTTTGTGTAATACCATCTATTTTAACTGGACCAATCGGTGGACCAGGGCGTTCGTAGGGTAGTTTAGCTGTAACTGCATGTTCTAATTCTAATGGTTCACTGATGCCGATATCGTTTTCTGCGAAGACTCGAAATTCATAACTTGTTTGATCAAGCAAACCGGTACATGTGTACGTTGGATTCGTTGGACGAGTCGATGCAACTTTGGTCCAGAGAGATTTATTAACCTCCCGTTTTTCAACAATATATGAGACAATGTCGCTTCCGCCATCATCTGAACATGTATGCCAAGCAAGACTAACATAATCTTTACCACTAGCAGTGACCTGTAACGGCCCACCAGGTGGTGATGGAACAGTTTGCACAAGAATGTCGAGACGTGCTGTTGTTGTACCACATTCATTGGTTGCTTGTAAACGGTATAGGCCGGTATCTTGTCGTACTGTTTGACGAAGAAGGAATGTTCCACTACTTTCGAACAGATCAAGAGTAGAACGATTTTCTTTGGATTCATCTGTTCGACTGATCGATAGCTCTGGCTTAGGTGAGCCAGTAAACGTAAATGGAATACGTATCGATGAGTTAAGACCAACGATAATTTGTTTGCGATATTTCGAATCGAATTCAATCTTCGGTGCTGCTAATACAGTCAGTTGCAATTGTTTACTATCACTACCATATTCATTTTGAAGTTCTAACGTATATTGTCCAGCATCATTTTCTTGCACTTCTTTGATATACAAGACAAGAATACCGTCGGCTAACGATGAAGTGTATCGTCCAGTTGTTAGAGGTAGCTTTCGTCCGCCACGATACCAGATAACTTCAGGTTCTGGCGAGCCGGTAATGGTTGCTTCGACACGACCTTGGCTACCACCAGTGACTGTTTGATTGGGTAGTTTTTCAATACGTGGTGCAATACCTTGACGAGGTGCTCGAATGTGAACAGCTCGATCAGTTTGAGAATAGGCACTGACACCAGCTTGATTACGTGCAGCAACGCGGAATTCGTATTCACCATTTGTTAATAAGTCGCTTAATTTGTGGAAACACTCTGTTATTGGTTTTTCAGTTTCTACGCGTGTGAACGATGGATCAGCTTTGAACCGTTGTTCAAGTATGTATTCGATAATTGGACTTCCATTATCACGAATAGGTGGTTTCCATGTTAATGTACATGATGTATCGGTCAAATCATGTATGTCGATAGGTCCAGGTTGAGTTGGCACATCGTACGGATCTTTGATCGTCACCGATTCACTGGGACGACTGTATGGACCTTGGCCTTCTTCATTAACAGCGGCAACTCGGAAGTCATAGATAGTTCCTTCAAGAGAAACAAAGAAAGATTTAGTTTGAGAAACAAGTCTTCAAGAGTTAATTTGTAAACTAACCTTCAATTAAATCAACTAATTGCACTGTTGTTCCTTCGACGACTGTTGGTAAAGCTCGTACCCAACGTGTTTCTGTTTGTCTTTCAACGATATAACCTTGTATTGGCGAACCACCGTCGCTATTAGGTGGTAACCATTGCAACTGACACGCTGATCGTGTAACGCCAGTGACTTTCAAGTCGCGTGGTGCACTTGGTACATCGAATGGATTCTTCGCTACAAATGGTTCGGTGATTTCCGTTGGTTCCGATTGACCTAATTTGTTTTCTGCCAATACTCTCACACNTAGATTTGACAATGACCGGTGGTGCTAAAATAATTGAAAGAAGACCAGGTAAACATTCATATCAATTTTTTTTATCCATCAATAAATCGAGTCTACTTACAATTAACTGTCAATCGAGCGCTGCATTCAATGGAACCAAGTGGATTCTCAGCGATTAATTCGTAAGTTCCAGCATCTGTTGGTGCAGCTTCTGCAATGACCAGTTTAACAGTGTCACCAGTGACATTCAATGTTACATGATCATCTTGTACGATTGGACGATCATTCTTTGACCTAAAGATAAGAAAATGAACAATAAAGAGTCGAGGTAAATATTTATTTCTTAGGAGTACTTACCATTTAAATTCGGGCATTGGATCACCTTTGACACGAGCTGTCAATGTTACTGGTTTTCCACTGACAACAGTGACGGATTCCAATTCTTGAATAAATCGTGGCTTTTCACCGACGACCGGTTCTCGTATTTCTGTTTCTCTGGTGGAGTTCGACGGTTCACCCAGTCCAGCAAGATTTTGTGCACGAACACGAAATTCGTATTTCTGACCAGTATGCAACGAACGAACTTTTGTTTTTGTACCTTCGAATGGTTCGGTTGCAGTCTACAACACATAAAGATAGAAAATCAATTAAAAAAACTAATGATTTGTCCCTTACAATCCATTTGTAGTTCGCTGGTGTACGTTTTTCAACTACATAGCCTGTAATAGGCGATCCACCATCAGAGATTGGTGGTTGCCAACTCAATTCAATCCAATCGTTTGCAACTGCTTCGATTGTGAGATCAAGAGGTGCGCCCGGTTTATCTGCAAGAGAAAAATCGTACTAGAAATCTTGCAAAGAAAAGATCATTTACCGAATGGATTCTTGGCAATAATCGTTCGTGATGGAGCACTTGGTTCCGATTGTGCAACTTTATTACAAGCAATAACGCGAAATTCATATTCACTTCCTTCGACTAAATCTTCCGCAATGACGGATGTTGTATCTGGATTAATTGGCAGTTTGGTTACTTTTGACCATCGTGAGGCACCTTGAATGTGTCGCTCAACAATATAACCTGTTAACGGTGTTCCACCATCACTTGTTGGTGGTGACCACTGAACACGGCATGTTGTTGCAAAGATTTCATCAATAAGTGGAGCTTCAGGTGCTGACGGCGGATCGAATGGACTCTTGATTAAGACCACTTCGGGATACTCGCATGGTTCCGATCGACCGTATTTGTTTTCTGCACTAACACGGAAACGATACTTAGCACCATCGATTAATCGATTGACAGTAGTTCGTTTTTCTTCAAAACTCATCACACAAACTTCATCCCATGAAGCTGCTCGTCGTTCCTCACATTTTTCAATGCAGTAACCTGTCAGTGGTGAACCACCGTCATCCTCCGGTTCTTCCCAAGTCAATTCGCATTCACCAACGTCGGATAATTTCACGATCAGATTCTTCGGTTTACTTGGTTTATCTAACACTTCAATTGTTCCATTTCGTTGATCTTGACCATATTCATTCTTCAACGTCACTTCATATACACCTGAATCGATTCGATGCATGGCATCAATGGTCATTTGTAGATGGCCATGTTTCACTAATTTCGATTTCATCTTGTTATTTGTTCGATTCCATTCTGCCGATGGTTCCGGCCATCCATTGTAGAACACATCAATGACCAATGGTTGATCATGTTTAATTAATTTCGAATTGGTTTGGAAGGTTTCAATCTTCGGCGGGACTTGTAATTTCAAGAATGCTTGTGCTTTCTTATCCCGAGCAACACAAACATATTCACCTTGATCTTCCACATCGACTTGTAATAATTTCAATCGATAGATTGTATCGGTGTTATGAAATTCAATCTTATCCTTGTGAAAGTCTAATTCTTTCTTGTTATGCATCCATTTGACCGGGATACCCGCACGATTTAATTCGCATTCGAAGACGCAGATGTTTGGTAGTTCGGTAAGAACTTGATCTTCTGGTTTACGAACGAAATAGATCGGAATTTCTTCCACATTCAATCGTCCGATGGTGTTTACATCATCAGCTTGACATGTGATGATACCCACGTCCTCATCTCGTACGTCATTAATTGTTAATTTCAAGACTTTATTTGATTTATCCAATTCCATAACGTATTTCTTGTCTCCGCTTTCTTCAATCACTTTTCCATTATGTAACCATTTAAAGTCGACATCACGTTTCGCTTTGACATAGGTTAATTTCGATACGGAGCATTGAAATTTGGCATTTTCGCCTTCTTTTGTGCCCACGTCGGTTAATCGTTCAACAAAACGAACTTTTTCTTCATCGACGGTAACTTTACATTGAGTTTTCACATCTGCTACACGACATGTATATTGTCCTTCATTGTCAATCGTCACATTCTTAATCACCAATCGTAGTTTGTTCTTCTCTCGACTGATATCATATTTTGTTCCGGATTGAATTTGTTGGTCGTTGAAAAACCAGGCGATTGGTTTATCAGTACGATTGACTGTACATTCAAGTATCAATGTTTGATCTTCAAGTATCGTACGATCTTGTAATGTTTGAGGAAATTCCACCTTCAAGTCGCCGATAGTCAGGTTGGCAGCTGTACGAATTTGTTCACTACCAGCTGTACAAGCGTATTCGCCCGAATCGGTTAAACTCGCGTTGATGATCTTCAAAACTTGTCGTTTACCACCAGATGCTTTGGATAGTTCGAATCGACCACCGCCGACTAACTTCACGCCATCACGGTACCAATGGATGGGAATTTCTGTTTGTGTACGTGTTGAATGCGTTTTCGAGATTTCACATTGGAAGGTAACTGTTTCACGTTCAATTGTTTGAATATCCTCGAGTAATTGGGTGAAAGTAACAGGAATTTCTACGAAAAAATCAAGTCAACGTCCATCTCATTAATTTTTCGCTCAAAAGACTTTACCTTTCACGGTTAGTTTAGCACCAATAGTCTTATCCATAATAACACAACTATATTCTCCATCATCTTCAAATTGTGCATTGTGGATAATCAATTTTTGCATAGGACCTTCACGTTGAATGGAATATT